TCAGCTGCTTGCTTTTTAACAACACCTTTTAAATTCCCATCAGGCTACTCCACAAGACATAACTCCCTTTCAAACTCTGGGCTTCTGACTTCCTGTTTCAGGTTTCTTTGGCCCTGAATGTTTGGTCCTGGTTTCCTGTTCCTTGGTCCTGCTTCCTGACTTCATCCTTTTATTTGCCTGCCTGGTTCTGGTTCCAGACTCCAGCCTGGAATCTTGTGCTTCAAGACTGCCTTATCAGCTCTATGACCCCATGTGATAGCCAGTTCCTGGTTTTTGACTTAGGTCAGGGGTTTTCAACCTTTAAAATAAGTGTACCCCCAGCAGTCACCTTTTAGTAAATGTACCCTAGGAGAGGGGTGGTGAAAGGCTGGATGCCGACTGTGTGTGGATGGCTTTTTATTGATTTTTTTAAAAGCAACACAACAATCAGAAATACATATATGTCAATGATATATGTCAGCCTGAATTATGTGCTTAATTGACACAAACAGTAAGTAATAAAAGAAGGAAAAATAAAGGAAGAAAGAAGAGGGAAGGATGAATAGAAGAAGATAGAAATATACAAGTAGTAATAATTTAGTTACCAAAATATTCTAAGAACTATTTCCAAATTGCACCACATTTTTCAAAACAGTTAAGTCTGCTAAATACGACATGCTCCATGGATTCCAGCTGTGCCATCTCTTCATACCAGATTTTGACCTTTGGAGACTTCCTACTTTTCCAATGCAGTAATATATTCCTGTGTGTTACTAATAAGGCCAGCTGTAAGAATGCAATCTGGGAAGGACTCATTTTGAATTCCTTAGGGCTTCCTTGAGCATTTTTGTGTTGCTATCTGCGAGGCGGGACTGGCTAAAAAGGAGTTTGGGGAATGGGGATCGAGACTGTGCCAGGAGAACTACACTTCCGCAGCAGCTGTTCTTTGAAGTTGCAAGGTGGCAGCATGGTGGGGTGTGGTGCGCAGGGAAAGAAAAGAGGGAATGGAGATCTGGAGGGAGAGGAACCATGGTGTGGGGACTGGGATGGGGAGATCTCGGGAGTCAGCTCTGGCTGGAAGAGAGGGACTCAACTGGAAGGGAAAACCAGGAGCCCTTGAAAAAGTGAGGACGGTTAACTCATCTGGAAGAGGAGAGAGACATGGCACAAGCTGCAAGAAGGAAAAAGTGGCAGATTCACCGTTTTTTAATTAAAGTCAATTTCATTTTACCCTGTTTTGTTTTTTGGTCTCATTGGGATTTTGATTAGGACCGATTGTGCTCTGGGATCCATGGGATAAAAAAGAAGTAAGAGACTGAAGGAAGGGTTTTTTTAGTTTAATAAAATCAAAAATATAAACAGTTCAAATAGTTGACTTTACCTAGTTTTATACATGTTGTTTTGTGTTAAATAATTGCAAGGAAGTGTCCTGGAAAAAAAAAAAGTAAAAGTAAATGAAACAGTTTGGAAGATTCACAGGCTGCATGAATGTTATATGACAGAAACTGTAAAATAAGAACAGATTTTGTTTTATAATAAAGATAATTGATTAACCACATACAAATTGGATTTTCTTGGTGATAAAAATTCTGGGGTTTGTCCGGAAGAGCTGGAAGTGAGACGTCCATCAAGAAAAAAATTATATCTATATTGCTGATGTCCTTCTGCATTAGTAACACCTCCCGATTGATAACACTGAATTAGATAAAGATGTGGTGGGTGAGAGTCAGATTTAAAACATGGAAGTACCCAAGTCAGGCAATCTGAGAGGTAAGAGCAAAAACCAGACCCTAGAGTAAAAAGGGAAAAGCCCACACTATCCAAGAACACACATATTTGACAAACGGTCACAAGCTGGCGGAGGGAAGGTTTAAGTTGGACATCAGGAGGCGCTACTTCATGGTCAGGGCGGCTAGGGTCTGGAACCAGCTTCCAAGTGAGGTGGGGCAGGCTCCCACCCTGGGGGTTTTTAAGAGGAGGTTGGATGAACACCTTACTGGGGTCGTTTGACCCCAGTGCTCTTCCTGCCATGGCAGGGGGTTGGACTAGATGATCTGCTCAGGTCCCTTCCAACCCTAGAAACTATGAAACTATGAAACAAAGGTATTAGTGCTTTATTCAAAACCAAAATCCTACATTTGTATCAGTGTGACACCACATATAGTGTTTGAAAGTATCATTTGTCAGAACAGATAAGTGTTCTGATAGAAGTCTGAAACTTCTATCAGACAGAAGTTGCGGACTATTGGCTACCAAATAAGGAGTACCCCATAAAATACAGGATAGGACCCAGCCTAGGCCCACTGTGTGATCAAGTCCAATGTTATTCTCCTTCAAGCATTTTATTGTTGCTCTCCACATCCACAGTCAGTGAAACCTTCCTTATCTCACCTTTCTTCAGTCTAATAGCAAAGAGCTGCCTTCTTTATTTTATCCTGTGCCTCTTTCTGTTCTCTAATTCTCTAATTTTCTCTAATTCTCTAATTTTCTCTAATTTTTCAGGTACAGAGCAACTTCTTAAAGGTGATGCTAAACACTATCTGAGGGAAATAGAAAGGAAGTTTGTTTTTTCTCTGCTAGAAACATGCATCAACTAATTGATTCTCCTGCTTCAACTGGGTCCACAAGAGGATGACTCCATTCCAGGAATCCAAGAGCTACCTGAGAAGAAATAAAAATCCAAAAGGTCGAGAATTTTCCATGGAAGTTGGAAGTCCTGAACTGGCCTATAGGCAGTGGAGCATAGATATGGATACGAGAGCTATGTAATTGAAATAATCAAGGAATTAATTGCTTTCTTCATGCAATTTGGCTATCACACCCACTCACTATCCATTTATACAATTCTCTATGCCTATATCAAATATTCCATACCTTTGTGCAAATCCTTTGGTATTCACCAATGTTTTCTTCTTTGCCAAATGTGGCTTTTTATCCCTTCAAATGTTCTGGTTCTGAACTTTGGACTAGGCCATTTTTAACCCTCTCTAAGACAGATGGAAGACCCCTCCAAATACAATCACATCAAAATAAGCAATATTATAAAAGAAAAGGGGAGGCAGTAGAAATGTTTAGATTTTTATTATGACAACAGAATCTGTAGAACTGAGAACCAGAAGTGGCATTTTTCCAGAAAGAGGCTGGAGCCAAGCAATTCTGATTTGTAAAAGTATCAAGTAAGAACCACATGGCTACTCTGCAGATATCTGTTACGTAGATCTAATCTGTCTTGACATGGTCTTCAGCTTTAGGCTAGTTAGGCCACAGCCAAATAGAATGTGATCAGACAGTAAATGTAGACCTGGTGTTCTTGATGACATTGCCCAGGGAACTGGTGTCAAATGAAACAAAAAGTTGGGTTGACTAAGGGTTATGGTCTACTTAAAACAGAACCCAAGGACTTTTCAGATTCAAAGTCATAGAGAGAAACCTCAATAGGAGGAAACAGGACAACAGGTTCTTCAAAGAGAAAGGATGAAGCTACCTTAGAGAAGAATTTTTAATATGTCAATAGCACCAACTTACCCTGGTAAAATTTGGGGTATCAGTTCAGTCCCTACAATCTCTGAGTTCAGCATACTTGTTCAGAAAGTTTAAGTTATTGCCACTAAGTAAATGACCATCCATGTAAGGATCATAGTTCATGACTCAGGTAGGACATCTTTAGCATGATAGGTAGGAGAACAACTTAAATGAGAGAATATTTAAGGGAAACTGAAAAGGACAAAGCTCATTTAACAATTCAGTGCAAGCATTTCAAGCCGTCAAAAGCAGATCTGAGGGGCAAAAGGAGAGAAGTGAGAAATCCAGTCTTACACTTATAAGCTCTAGCTTCACTCCAGTGTTCAATAAGTGACTACTTTGCAATGTAGTCTTCAAGAGTTTTAGTTGGGAAGAAATAACAGGGAGAATTTCAAATTAGTAAGCCAGAAGTATGCTTTCCTGAGGTAATGAATACTATTATATAAAGTACAAGTGCAACAACCCAGTGGCAACATACACATTTGCCTATGTGACTCCTACAGAACATTTCAGTGATGCAGAGTTTAGGAGATAATTGGATGAAACAGCAAATCACAGGGAGATTTTTTGGAATAAGTATTTATTTAATAGATACAAACTTTCCATTTTATCTTATATTTACAATCAATCATTTAACTAAGAATGATTGAAGATAAAATTTATAGCCAAATAAAAATGTAAATAATAATTCCAGCGCTTCAAAGAGACACAATTTGACTAGGTGAAGTAATTTACCCTCCAGTATTTTAAAAGGTGGGTTCTGCTCCCTTCTCTGAATTTAACTTGGTGTGTAAAGCTGGAGAAGTTGCTTTGACTAAGTTTTTAAAAATGAACTAGTGGTTTTGGATGTCTCAGTTTGGGGACACCCAACTTGAAACTCTGGCAGACAGCATGAAATTTAAAGGGCAGATAGATTTCTGCATTTCCTGAAAATCAAGCTCTTAAAATATTTCACGGTAGGCACCCAAACACATTAGTCAATTGAGAATATCTTGACTTTCACTTTTTCTTTCAGGAATCACTGTCTTTTCAGTATCCTCCTTCCTCAGATATCCCAACTCTCCCGCACGCTCCCTGTCCTACTCCCTTGTTGCCTCTTGGTTATGGCAGCTGTTCTTTGATCATCTTAAATGCTTGACTGATTCTTACAGCTATTCCTCCTCACCTTCCATAACAGACCTCTGTGCTTCGTTTTTGTGAATTTCTCCATTCCTCTGTTCACCTTTGTGTCTTTCTCTTGGCTCTCTCCCTTGGAATCTAAAGTTTCTCCACAGAATCTATCAAAATGGATTTTAGGTTTGGCTTCAAAGAAAATTACAGTCAAATGAAGAAGACACGTCACTTAAGCTCTGTGCACTGGCCTAGAGCTTACACCTATATATAATAAGGCATTTTTTGCTGAATGGTGCCCTTAGTAAGCACTGAAAAGCCTAAAATATCTGTCAGTATGCTAAAAGGTAACATATTTAAAGCAGTCAAAAACCAGTGCTCACAGCACAAATCCTACACTGTGCAATAGTAAATCTGCACTTACAAAATTGTCTGAAAAACATCAAAGACTTTGGAAGATATTGTATCCGTTATAACTTTTTATGTCTGTTCTTTTGGAAAGAAGGGAGCGTTTCACACTAAGACTGCAAACTTTTGCAAGCAAGCAAAAGAATCAATATCTTCCCTTCTTTATCTAGTCTTTCCAAGTTCTCCACACTGTCATGATCATGTTGTTTCCTCAACTACAGCTTTCAATTATTGATGAGCAAAGGCAGCCCCACAAAATGGTTATTATTGTGGAACAGCCTGGGCTCAGGGTTACCTTAAAAAATACCACAGGGGATTGTTTTTATTTTGTCAAGAAAACATAACTAATTGTAGCATTGTTTACTGTGCAAGGTGCCATGTCCAATCAGTGTCAAAGAGAATCTTGGGGCTGTTGCTGGAAAGAAGGATTGCTTACACAGTCTCTCCCTGATTGCTGCCAGCTACAAGCTCAGTTTACTTTCCTTGTAAGTAACTACAATACCTGTACTTGAAATTTATTTATAAAAGAGACAGGCCATTTTTTCTTTGACCTACTTTAAGTCTTAGGGAAATGAATATCTACTAAAAAATGCTCCCACCTGTCTCTTGACAAACAATTATTGCACCTGCTAAGATTCAGTCAAACATTCACTGGTTACTGTGCTTCCAATGCCTGCTAAAATTGGTGCTTGTAAGATCAAGTAAGGTTTTATGCATCAGCACAATGTTCCTTTTTCGTCTCAACTACTCCCCCTGAAAGATTTTTGGCAGTGTTTCTTGTTTATAATTTACCTATGTAGTGCATAGAGATAATTAAAAGGAAATTCTGACTACTTTTAAGTCATTGTTAGATTTAATTACTCCTTTTTGAACAAACAAATTCTTTAAAGTGCCCATTTCAGTACTGGAACTTGGCATCAGAATGGGGCAGACAATGCCTCAGTTCAAAAATACCAATGTCTCTTTTGGGAGTTTTTGATGTGTAAATATAACCCTTCTGCCAAGTCTCACTGACACAAGGAAAGGGCCAGGAATGTGTATCTAGACGTTCCTGTTAAAATTGACAAATACCACTGCCCTGAGCTCCACCCAGATATCTGAGGAAATGAATTACAGGGCCAGGATATTAAGGGTGTGTGAAACGGGCCCTGTTCAATTCGGATTCCTCCCAAATCAGGGACAGTGATTCGATTTATTGATTCGTGTCACTGTCCCTGATTCAATTTGGCCGAATCAAAATCTGAAGATCCAATACTGATTCAGAGAATCAGCAATTCAGCCATACGCACAGCCTTAAATATTTTTTCTATATACCCCAAGGTACCAGGCACAGCTTGTGAATGTTTCAATGGTGGGGTGGATGAATTGTCCCACAGGAGCATGGGGGAGCCCCCCCACATGCTCGGCAGTGAGCCCAGAAGTGGACCAGAATACTTCCGGTCCACTTTCGGGTCTGCCAGGGAGCACACAGGGGGACACCCTCGCAGCCTCCCCAACTCACCAATCAGCCACAGGAGGGTCCCGGGTGCCCCCCCAGATGCAGGAGGCACCAGTCAATGAGCCAGCAGGGCATGGGGAGGACCTCCATGTGCTCCCTGGTGGACCTGGAACTGCTTCTCATCCACTTTCAGTTCTGCTCCCGAGTATGCTGGGTACCCCCCCTTTGCTTCTGTCGAGCACCCCGTGTGCTCCCGGTATCACAGGTTTTCATGAGCTGCCTGCTACCTAGAGGTATGGAGAAAAAACATTTAAAGCTGTATCTAAGTCCAAATCACTGAATCTCTCTGAATGTCTCTGGATCAATTTGGAGAGTTCCAATTCAATTCAGAGAGATTAGTCTCCTGATTTGATTCAGATTTGGAGATTTGGCCAGCAAATTGGGCCGAATCTCTGCTGAATTGAATCAGGGACCAAAGATTCGCACAACCTTACTGGACATTATTAACAGACAACAATTTCCACTTTCACAACCAATAAGTCTGTTATACAATTCCATTGTGGAGAGGGTTCAGTAGCATATCTTTTTCAATAGAAGAAATCCACTCTTCCCTACATGACAAAAGCCCCTTTCACCTCAATCTTACTTATGCAGAAGCTTTACTACCCAGGAGGAGAGTTAAGGTTTTGTTTATGGTGAACTCAGAGCATATTAAGCACAGTTCTCTTTTCTTGACTCCTATCAAACAGTAAAGGCAACTAATATTTAATTACCTGTACAGCTGAAACTTAAGTTAACTGTCATCAAAACAACAAAATTGCTCTCTTTGCTCACATTATAGAGAGCACCCATGCCTCATTTTAATTTTTTTCTAGTTCTGGATGGTGGCAGAGAGCTCCTTCCCTAACAGGTTAAGATCATAGGGCAGCAAAAGGAGTGCAGATAAGCTTCAGAAAATTATCTCCTGCATTTAACAAAACAATAAAACCAATATTGTAGCATAACAGGAATAACTCTGCTATAGGAACATGCCATTTTTAAAATGGAAATAATGTATAATTCCCATAACAACATATAAGGTGTTAAGGATAAACATTAAGAAGAATTTCTTATCTCAAAATAGTTTAACACAGCTTAGTTTCAGTGCCATGCACCTTATTAAAAGCCAATGAACATTTTCTAAATTACAGCCTTATGTGTCAATATATTTGGGGAATACAACAAAAAAGGGGACCATGCCTCTTTTCTTTTAGACTATAGCATGAGCTGCCTCTCTGACAACACCCTAGCAACTCAGAGAAAGCAAGGCATAGCTTTTTCTTAAATTTCACTCTGGCTCATCTTCCTTGGCCGTGCCTTGCAGTGAACATTTTGGCTCTTCCTCCCCCATACATGAGTTTTCAGGATATCCACACTATGGCTATTTTTAGTCCTGAACCTCAATCATCTCTTCAAACTCTCGTTCTACTCTCAACTTCAGACTTTAGACCGGGGTGCTCCAACTCTAGCACATAAGTAGCCACGCTAAAATGGAGTAGCAAAAGCAAACCTTTTGTGATGCTTAATGTGCAGCAGACTAATTCTACTGTGCATTATTGCACTGGCATGGTTTTTGCCATGGTGCACTAATGTGCAGTAGAACAGTCCACTGCATATTAAGGCACCTAATGTTGATGCACCCAGTATTAACACCACCCAGACTGGGATGATAAATGTGAGGAGGAGGAGAAAAAGGAAGGAGTATTCAGGTTGTGTGACATTTCCCTGAATTAATGGTAAAAAAACAAAGTTATTTGGTTATTGTTTTTTTTACCAAATGGCACAGAAGAAGCAAAGGCAAGAAATAAAAGAAAGAGCTGTACTAAAGTCATGATAAATGTAATGTCTGCAAGGGGCCACAGACCACGTCTGCATCAACATATTCAAATAATCTGGGAGGATTCTCCCAGGTTTGTTCTCTTGGTAGAAAAACTTACCTGGAGACACCTGGATAGACATTCAAATGCTGAAGCCTTGAGGGGTAAAGAGCTTGAAGTGCTGACACTGTTTGGCCAAAGAGCCCCTATGCAGACATCTCAGCATGCTCTGCAGACTTCCAAATCTTCCTGGAGATAGATGGCAGATGAGAACCAGGAGAATCCAGGTTACTTTTCTCCTGGAGTGGCCATTTTTATTCTTTGGGAAAGTCCTGAACATCCGTACACTCAAGATTTCTCCTGCAAAGAGTAAGTGAAACTGAATGTTGACATGTTGCCCGTGTCTCTTGGGCCCCACTCCTTTGACCTCTCATCCACTTAGGTAGATTCCTGTAACTGTGTAGAGTAAGAACAAGTTCAGATATGATATTAGGGTCTTTATTTCCTGTATTATAAAATGGGTGGTATAGACATTGATAACATGCAAAGTATGTCAGTATAGCTACTAATTTTTAAGTGCTTGTTTTGTTTTTTGTTTTTTTAATATACATATGATGAGGCATTCTGGCACAAGGGCAATAACCAAATGTTTTTTAGTATTATTAAGTTTCAGGATCCTGACATTATTCTAAAATAACCTTGTTCTTACTTTTCCTCTTGAATTTTCACAGATTATGAGGTTTAAAGAATAAACTAAAAATATATTTGTATATTTTTTCTTATGCAACTTGTTTTTATTTTCTGAGCAAGTGCTATTTAAAAATAAGAACATACAAAGAAAATGATGTTCTTGTATAAACAAAGGCCATTTGGTCCTATAGTTAAGCATACTGTAAAGATACTGTGCACAGGAAAAATTTTCAAAAGGTCACATCCAAATATTGATGTTCATCAAGATTTTTTGTAACTAGAAGAGAAAGCAGAGATAGATTTTATTTAAGACAACCTATGGTGTGTCTGGTCTTCCTGTGACTGAGTTTTCTCACTGCCATTTGAACTTGATTCAATAATGTATACATATTTGACTTCCATGAAATCCCATTCAGTGCCCGACAATTTCAAAGACTGTCATTGTATAAAACTTTTGGAGAATGATTGACCTTAGGAGGTTGAGCGGAATCTTTCCATTACTCATAATTTGGCACTGGGTCTGAGCTCTACTGCTTCTGGTGGTGATGAATTCATTCACAGTCATTATATTTCAGAAACAGAAAATATGACAGAATTAGCATAAGGGGCAAATATAAAATAAAAATATGTGGTTCAGTTTCAGGGGTTGCTTATTCCCTCCCCTGCCATTCTTTGTCTTCCCCCCCTCCCCCTTTTAACTATAACATGCTGCTACTTGTTTAAAAAATTAAAAAAATAAATCTCATTGGAGTGATTCTGTCTTGCAGGTTGACAGGCTGAGCACACACATATAATGTAGCTTTTGAATATAATCTATCTGATGTCGGGTCACACAAATGAGCCATGAGTATGTATTAAGAGTAGCTGAATATCTGAAGGGGAAAAACAAGGTTTGCCGTCAAAGCTACCATGCTACATGCCACATATATTTGTGAAGCCTGTAAACAATCAAATATTGTCATTTTTGTAAAATCACTTAATTTTAGACACCAGGTACATGTATAGAAATATGTTAAAATAGTTGCCTATTGTTTTGCTCTAGATACATCTATCAAAGCCCATAATAAATCAGTAAGAGCCCTGCATGTCACGTCCTTTATTGCAGACACAATCATAAAACACCTCATGTCAAGTATGTTCAGAGTCCTTTGTGGGTTTCGTTTCATTATTTGGCTGTGTATATACCTGCAGCACAAATAATGTTCAGTTACCTGGGGTCATTTTCATTCATAGGTATTCTGCAGACCTGTCATTTATAAATACCCCAGGTCCTTGTACACTCAAGCATAAACTGTTCATTATAGCTTCGATCATTTCACACTTATTAAACTCAATAAAATACTCTAGGTGAGATATTGTCTTAAAAACTGTACCACAGTCAAAACCTTAAACTTATTTCTACCATCTCCTAAAACACTCAAGTGTGCATTCAGTTCTTGAACTTAAATATACTTTCAGCAAAAGATTTTGCAATTTTTAGAAGTTATGATAGAAAAACCTGTGAAAATTCTTGTTTTAAATTTGCTTATGCATGTATTCTTCAGATTTGCCTGTAGCTGTTGTAAGTGATGATTCAAAATCATAGTTGACTGAATAATATTTAGATAGTTCAATTCAAACAGCAGACAAAAAAGAGACAAGAGTATTAAGACTTAAAATATACAGTGCAGTATGGTTTTGGAAATCCATTACCTTATTTTTTGGAGGTTCACTACCTTAAAATACACAAAGGACTGAGTGTTTCAAAACACTATGTGCTGTTTGCACATATAAAAACAGCTGAAATTGTTAGTAGAATTGTTTGCATAAGCAGCTATGCTAACATTTTAAAAGTGATACAGCTATAAATATATGCATCTATATATGCATAAAGCTGTGGAACTAGTTCTACCCTGGGTAACCAGAGTATGAATCAGACTCTTAGCTGGTGATTCTCTGCTAGGATCTCACCCTTGAGATCCTTCCAAGGGCGTCGTTGGGTACCACAAAATGCTAGCACTATTAGGTGTGCAAACATGATTCACAAGATAAACCAAGAGATTGCAACAGTGTTGAAGTGTTTAGTCCATAGTATTAAAACTGCTCTGACTTGTTGTGATCTTTCTGAGTTCTTTGCAACAGAATTGCTGAATTATTTTTCTGTAGTCAAAAAACAAGTGAAAACTAGGAGTTGGCCTTTTTTGAGGGTTCATTGCATCTGAGGGTTCATGGCATGAGGGACACATTGAGGCTAACAAGAGGTGCCTAGGCAGAGCAGCACCTGCATGTTTACACATATATACCAGAGGGATATTAGTCTGGCTCCCCCCATAAACAATACATTTACTTGGAAAGTAAGCAGTACTGAACCTAAGTATCTGAGCTGGGACATGCTGAGAGAATGGTGATGGGGAGAAGAGATTAATCCTTCTAGGGGTGTTTGTAGATGACATTTTAAAGTGGGTTAAATGACTTTTATACTGCTTTAATGACATTGCTGTTTGCACATTCGATGGTGTATTGCACATTAATTCCAGTTGCTGTAGCACATTCAGCAGCATAATATGCCTTAAATGACTTTGGAATACAGAAAAAGACTTTGGGTCACTGCAAAA